CAATTCTGGAAAGTGTCATTTTGATCCATTGATTCATTTTAGAGATATAGGTCTGGGAACTAATGGCCCTCAAATGCACAGCCGAATTTGGATCACCACCAACACTTCATAATTTTTTTGTTGTAACTTGGTTAATCTTTCACGAATGTTTCATTTAAATCAGTTTCTGAAATATCTGGTCTGGGACGTTTTGTTTGAATGGTCCTCATATCCACACCCTACTCCGGATGGTCACCAAAATTAAAACATTTCTTCATCGAAAAATGACAAAATATTCTGGGTAGTGTCATTTAGAACCATTGATTATATTTAGAGATATTTATGCTGGGACCTTAGGATTTTAGTGGCCCTCAAATTCACACCCGGATCGTCACCAACTTCCATTTAAGATCTGTGCAGCTGTTTTTGAGATATTTTGAACACAAGAAAGACACATGACCTTATAAATTTAAATAACCCTCAAGTTCACACCCAAATTTGGATCGTCACCAACACTTAATCATTTATTTCTTGTAACTTGGATAAACTTAAATCCTTTAAATGGTCCTCACATCCACACCCTACTCCGGACCATCACCAAAATTTAATCATTTCTTCATTGGGTTATACCTAACACTCTCTGTTATTTTCAATTATGTCTGTGCAACCGTTTTTGAGATGTTCGCACACAAAAAAACCACATGAAAGCACAAAAACGTGACGAACACACACAAACTTGCACAACTGAAAGCATATATCTCCTGGTGGAGATGATAGTAATAATAATAGTAATATTAATAATAATAATAATAATAATAATAATAATAATAATTAGATTTGAAATCGTCACTGAGGACTAGTTAGGTGATCCGCTTGTCAGGCAAAAGATATTGCCCGGCGCTTTTGATTGGAAAAATATAGTAGCCAGAATTGTCAAACTGCAGTTCTATATCAAGTCTGCCACCCTCTCTCGGGTTGTCAAAGAATTAAAGAAAGAAAGTGGTGGGGGAGAAGTCATGAAAACATTCATTTTTACCATGATGATGTCATCAAAGTGAAAAATAAATGACACACTCCCCTACACCTACAAAACAAAACAGGGTTTTCAGCAAGGAGTGTACATTATTGCCATTACCACTAATAACGCACATCACATGAATGGCGGGGTCGGTTAAGCATGTGTTCTAAAGAACATAAGGTCTGGGTTCGATTTCGCGTTTAGCTATTAAATATTTAGAAAAAAAATTAAGGTACATGACATTCATCCTTGACCTGAAGTTTTATGCCCATTGAATGTGATTAGAAATGTCAATTGGTTATGATATGGGGGTCATCAAAGTCTTGAGAAAAGAAAGATGAGGGGGTGTCTGAAAAAAACATTTATTTTCACCATGATGACATCATCAATATGAAAAAAAGTCACATTTATGAAAGAGAATTGTCTCAGCTATAACATATACTCAAAGTTGGGAGATGATCGATTTATAAAGATAAGTGAGATTTAAACAAATGACGTTATAGGTAAAAATTCAGTTTTTTTATTTCAGATGGCAATATGATGATGTCACAATGTCCGATCAGCCATAATAATCTATAAAATCATATCTACAACTCATGTGCTTTAAGAATAAGTAATAAGAATTGGGGGTCACCTTTCATCCTAAGGAGTGACAGCGCCACTGAACACTGGATATTGGTGCTTTATAAATATTTTGAATTGATTGATTGATTGAAGGAGCTATAACTGATTGAAAATAGGCATGATTTTGGCAAATTTTCAGTGTTTGTCGACAAAAATGCGCACAAAGATTCATATCTTTGATGCGCGCATACAGCATTGCTATTGGCCCTAAGATGACTGGAAAAGAATGGAAATTTGTGAATACAGTGTCAGAAACCTAAAACATGTAAAAAGACCAAATTTCCAGCTTCTGTACGTGCTCTGCGTTTAAAAATGCGCCGTGAGGAAAATTTGAAAAATGTTGAAATGCTCAAAATGGACTGAAACGTGCTCTAATTTAGTCAAAAAGTGATTTTGAGCATTTTAAAAATGACGCGCTCATTAAATTCAGGTACTGTACATGACATTCAACTTTGACCTGAAGTTTATGCTCACTATATATGATTTCAAAATGGCAATTGGTTCGGATGATATGATCGATAATGTAAAACGCAAAATTGTGCGTAGATGACGTCACGCATGACTGGTCACATTGAAAAGCTTATTGTGACTATTCCAGGCCAAGCCAAGTGTTCCTTGAAGCTGCCATGTGCGTAACTCGTAGCAACTTGTGAGATATTGTGCAAACTAGAAATGGGGAGAAATGTAGAATAAAAAAAAAGATCTCTGACAATAACAAGAGGTGATTTGTTCTGTGAAGCGGATCACCAATAATAATTAATAATATTATATGGGTAATATATTTTGTATGTTAGTTGATATTTTAATGAATGTTAAAAACATGAATGCCTTTTTTAGAAAAAAAAAAACAGTTTAGTCTACAGTTGTTTTAATTTATATGCAATTATTTTTGTGTGTGTAGAAGATTGGCTTGCCTCTCCACCTGGTTACCAAGACATTGTTGTTTCTGAATTTAAGGAGGAACAGTCTGTTATTAAGGAAACATATGAGAAAAATAGTAATGCTGGTTTGAGTGCCAAAAGTCATCAGAAAACTGACATTAAACCTGAAGACAATTCTGAGCCTAAAGTCATGCGTGAGGATTATTCAAATTCAGATTACTCAACACAACATGCATATCACACAAAACTAGACCTAGAATTGCAGGCATCAGATTCACCAGTTATAGGGACTCCAGAGGGTCTCTACAAGGACTTCCAAAGTGATCTATCAGAAATCTTTGCATCAAAAACTCCAAGCTTACCACTTAGATCAAGACAACGCCTAAAAGCAAGGAAAGACAATTTTGTAGATTCACCCATTGTAGAATCAATGCGTACCAGTGTTGCAATGAAAACCTCATTATCAACTGGAATAGAAATGCCTATGGATGGATTAGGATCACCAAATGGAGACATTTCGGCAGGATTTACTCTAGATGATCTCTTGAAAGAAACACGGTTGTCAGTAGAAAGTGGATCTAGCGAGATATCAGGTGAAAGCATGCCAAAAAGTGCATTAAAGGCCAGGAATGGAAGTGACGATTCACAAAAGAGTGTCCATTTCTCCAGTGGTTATCAAGAAAATATCTTTGAGGAGGAAGCAAACTCTTCTAGTGACAGATCTCTCGCAGAAAATGCTAAAACTAAGCATGAAAATCTTGATGAAGATTTAGATCAATTTTCAGGTTCTGTCCACTCTCATAGAAACAGATTAAGTGGAATGTTTTCAGAAGATGAAAGTTTTGATCTTGATATATCCAGACCAGTTGAAGAACTCTTGCATTACATTTCCCCAGCCACTACACCAACACATTTAGAGAGTCATGGAGGAGTACGATTGTCAAGTCATCCAACAGATTCACCATTTGATATTTCAAAACACGATGCTACTGTGTCATTACTTGAAAGGTTGAAACTTACTTCAGTGAGCTCAGACAATGCATCTCCCCGAGATACTCAAATGAGAAAGGAAATGTCTGATAGAAACCAACAGGAACTTGTGAATACAATGGATTTTCATGATGATTTTTGTGCAGTTAAAATTTCAAATCTTCAAAGAGAAGATGATTGTGAATTGAGTAAAAGCACAGTGACAAGATCAACATCCAATTTTGACCTATTAGGTGAGTGGCACACTGATACACTGATACAAAATTTGCACCGCTTGATACTTTTACGGATGAATCTGCATACTTTATTTTATTTTGTTGTATTATTTGATTGTTGTAATTGTTATTGATGAATTTGATTGGAGGAAATAGAACACTAATTGTATTGCACTACAAAGCTTACTGTTGTTTTGGGACAGTGTGGAGGTGGAAGTTGCTAAGGAGAAGGTACATGTTTATCCCTACATGTGTATATATATATAAAATGCAAAATCAATGAAAAAACGGTGTACAATCATTGAAAGTTGACTTGCGGAACACAAATTTATTAAGCTATAACTAAATCAAACGGATATTTCGATAGCTCCTGCTATCTTCATCAACGTTACTTTCAGCAG